GATTGTTTCGCATGCAAAATACATCCGCGTAAAATTCGAACGCGTCCTCGATAGTCTCTTCAACGCCACTCGTCCCCATAAATCTCGTTGCATTTTCACGTAACATTAACAGAGTTCGTTTCACGCATGACAAAGTCACCATTATCCAAGTGTCCACTCGGGACACTCTTGTCTTTAACTTTGTATCTACATAACGACGCGATGCATCACCATACATTATATCGAACGGGTCGGGGTCGTTTCCATATTTTCGTGCCTCCTCGCCTTCTTGAGCTTCACTCCATATATATATATATGGAGGTGAGTTTTCCATGCCGCCGGTGACACGGAAGTAACGCACGATCGATTACACGCGAGGCTTATAAATAACTTCGTTTATGCGCGGTCGTACAAAGTTGAGATTAAAAACGGAAGAAAAAAGAACCACTGTTTATACGAGTCTTCGGTAAATAGGTTTATATAATTGGCTATATATAATAAGAGTTTATCTAATTGTCTTTTTCAGTTTGATAGGAGATTAATTTATGAGAGGATTTTACGAAATATCGAATCAATGTGTATCGAGTCGTTTGTTTATATGATTCTGAAGAACAAATTAAAACAGATTATTTGTATATAATAGGAATTCTCTTCATCAATTATGATTTTTTTTTTATTCATTTAATTTAAGAATTCATGTTCACACGAGAAAGAAAATACTTTATTATGAAATATTTTTCTTAAAATTCGTAGCAATGTACGTATGAAATATATTTTTAATTACATTATATTAAATGGGATTCGTGGACGTGGATTCGTATAAGTGGACTGACGCTCGACGATGTATCGGGTAATAAAAGCTCAAAGGTTAAGGTTTAATCGGTATTAAATTTTTCATTCGTTCGTATAAACGGAAAAATTTCATTTTATTCGGAGAGGGGGGAAAATATGAAAAAATAACGAAACGAAAGTTATCTATTTCGAAAGCTATTAAGCGCATGTTGAAAATTTGATCGGATATAAAGTCAAAAGTGGAACTATCCCTTGACGAGAAGAAAGAAAATGGATTACCAAGATTAACAGAGTAATCCGGCCAGTTTCGATCTGGCTAATTCGACGACACACAGCTGACGGAGAGATAGAGGATGGGTGGGTTCAGCATCGAGCGAAATTGGATGTGGCTGTTCGCTGATAAAAAAAAGTCCTCCTCCGAGACTATTAAGATATTCGATATATCGATCATTGTTCGAAACTTTTATCGATAATTGAATTCTTTTTTTTTTTTTTTTTTT